AGGATATATACCTAGGGGTAAACTTACTAGGTCATAGGTTATCTTCAATTTTACTAGATAATTTCAAACTGTTTTCCAAAGAGACTGTACCAAAGTAACACCACCACAATCCACGTGTTTTATTGTTCCACATCCTTGTCGCCACTTAGTACTGTCAATTTTTTTAATGTTAGCTATTTTGGAGAGTGTGTGGTAATATCTCTTTGAAGACATAATTTATATTTCCTTGATTACTAATAAGATTAAGCACCATTTCAAGTTTATGGACCATTTGGATACCCTCTTATAAATACCTGTTCAAGTTCCTTGATATATTATGTTGTGTTTTTCTTACGCATGTGTAGAGTTTTTTAATGTTCTGGATAACAACTTTCATCTTTCATTAATTTTTGACCTTTTCTTTGCTATTTCTTTCCTTCTGCTTTCTGTGGCATTATTTTACTGTTCTTTTTCTAAATTCTTGAGATTGATAATTCATTAATTTTTCAGTTCTCTCTTCTTTGATAATATAAAAATGTATATATTATTAATTTCCCTTTAAAAATAACTTTAGCTGCATTTCAAAAGTTTTGTTGAGATATTTTTATTATACTTGCAGTTCAAACTATCTTCTAACTTCTATTTTGATTATTTTTTGACCCAAAAATGGGCCAAAATGTATTTAATTTCCAAACATGTGGGCATTTTCTAGTTATGCTTTTCTTATACTTATTTCTAGCTTAATTCCACTGTTGTCAGAGAATATATTTTAAATGACTTAAATCATTTAAAATATGTCAGATTTAAGTCATTTAAAATATGTTGCTTTATGGTACAGCATATGGTAAATTTTTTTTGTAAATGTTCCATGTGTAACTGAAAAGAATATACACTCTGCTTTTATTTGGTAATTGTTCTACATACATCCATTAGGTCAAATTTGCTAATTGTATTAGTTTTATCTTCTATATCCCTGCTGATAGATGATTATCTGTATGTTTTCTCACATACTGTGAGAGATGTATTAAAATCTTCCTAAACTGAAAGACAAGAGCTCCCAGATGGAAAGAGTTTATTGAGTACTCAGCACAATGAATGAAAACAGACCAACACCAAGACACATCAGTGTGAAATTTCATACTACTGAGGAAGAAAAGGAGCTCCTAAAAACTCCCAGAGAGAATAAAAATAATTTATACAAAGGATGAAGGATCAGCATGGCATTGGATCTCTCAATAGTAATGGGAAAATGAAGTAATATCTTGAAAACCCTAAAGGAAAAATATCTAAAATCTTGACTTTTAGGGGCCAGCCTGGTGGCATAGCAGTTAAGTTCATGCACTCCGCTTCAGAGGCCCAGGGTTCACTGGTTCAGATCCTGGGAGTGGACCTACGCACTACTCATCAAGCCATGCTGAGGTGGCGTCACACATAGAGCAACTAGAAGGATGTACAACTATGACATACAACTGTCTACTGGGGTTTTGGGGGAAAAAAAAGGAAAAAAGGAGGAAGATTGGCAACAGGTGTTAGCTCAGGGCCAATGTTCCTCAAAAAAAAATTCTTGACTTTTATACCTAGACAATCTATGAAATAATTGTAAGGCATTTTCAGACATGCGAATTTTCAAAAAATTTATACCCGTTGCAGCCCGTACACTGAAATAAAGTGGAGCTTCCTGGAAGATATCCCACCAAAAAGAGGAAGTAAATCAAGAGAAAGACATGTGATCCCAAAAAAGGGGGCTCTGATTCAAGCAAAAATCAATGGGAATGAATGATAATAATAAAGAGAGATCCCAACATAATTGCTGTGCAGCACATATATAGATTAAGCACCCATCCAGATTGGAACAACTCGGAAGCCTTTAGGAAAAACTTCTTCAAGAAGATGAATTTGGTAGAATAGCAAATGTTTTGAAACATATTGGGTGGAGATTTACACAAGTGGGGAAGAGGCTGGGGAGAAATCAGTGATAAGTAAAGCAAGAAAACCAAGCCATCAAACAAAAAAGACATTTATTAATTTCAGAGAAAACAAAAAGTTATTTAGAAAGTAAAAGTAATCATAATATACTACATGGTTCAGTTGACAATGGCATTTATAAAGTCATGATAGTGTAACACTGAATACTGATCTAAGCAAAATTATGACATAACTATATTTGGAGAATGGGAAGATGACAAGAGGATAAAAAGAGACAGTGGGTGAGGGAGGAGATTGGGTGGGGTGAGTAAAGAAAATAAAAAAGAGCTAGACATTCAACTCCCATAGTAAGAATCAATACATAATGTGTAAAACTAAAAACTCAATAGCTGCATTTAGAGATACCACTGTAAATAAATTTTTTAAAAAGCTGTAAGAGTTGAAAATAGTTGCTTCTGGGAAGCGGGGAATGAAGAAATGCTATTTTTCAAAATTAGCCTTGACTACTTAAATATGTAAGTGACAAATACAAAAACTGGACTTGTAAAATTCTTTCAAAAACGTGGTGAGCAGTCAGAAACTTAAGGATGTTTACAAAATAATCTAAAATTAATTTCAGTCTGAAATACTTCTTTTGGAACAAAAATGAACTGCTGTACATGAGTTTGTTCTAAATAAGTACTACTCTCCTTCTTTAATTTATTTAACTCATTATGCACTTTTGCAGGCACTTTCTCAACATTGTTTGAAATCTCAGGAACTCATTTAAATATATGTGTATATAAATAAATATATAAAGTTATTTATATATAAATCTCAGGTACTCACCAAGATGCTGATTTCTTAGTAATATAGCAAATCTTGGTCAGCAAAAGTTCTAGCAGATACCCTCGGTGAGAGTCTCCCAGCATATGCAGTTCATCCACAACCACCATTCCTAAAGAGATTTTCCAGATACTAGGCTTTACAGAATTTCACAATTCCAAGAAGAATTTTAAAACACTTAATACCTTATATTGTATACAGTAAATAGCTGTCATTATAATATATTGCAGGTGATGGAAATGTCTAACCATAAAACAAAAATCAAGTTCCACATAATGGACAATTCTTTTCCAAGATATTTCAGGTATCATAAGTAGTCCTACTACAATGTATTCTGGGTCTAAAAATCAATGATTCACTAACTCAGGGCTAACTCAGGGAAAACTGCCTCTTGCTACTCAGACACTTCTTGATTGGCAACCTTGTAGAAATATGTGTACAATGAGATATCAAAGACAGCTATGACAGTTATTGAAGTATTGACTTTTCTATGTGGAAAACAGCCAGGGCAACCATCGTGATGTTAGAAAGTTGCTTAGAAAAACAGAATCAGATCAAGGAGAAAGAAATGATTTTAAGAGATTTTTTTGTTTGATTATGTTAGGCTAAGTGAGTCACCTCACCACAAAACATAAATATGACCATAATCCCCTTCTCCACTACTTGGAGAATCAAACTAGTCTATGCACTTGGAATAATGCTTGAGAATTACTGAAAATTTAGTGTAAACCAATGCCTTCTTTAGTTAAACGTTTTCATAATATCACAGTTTTCACGTGCACTGGTATCCACCCTCCAAATTCTCCCCACGAAAATCAAGATCTTTCAGACTATTTCCTAACGACATATGATGCTCCTTTCCCTCAACAGTAAGCTAGCTCCAAATCATACTGTATGATGAGTTACCTTAGCACTTATTCATTCATTTATTTATCCAAAAAATATTTATTTTACCTAGTATGCCAGGCACTGTGCTAGGTATATTGGATATAACTCTTAATAAGATTCTATTGCAATCCCCAAGATATTTAAAGTCCATAGGGTCACAATTAATAAGACAATTCTGATACAAATTGACGAATGCGATTTCTCTTTCTAAGTTTTATAGAGCAGAGCTCATGTCTTCTTAATCTTTGATTTCACTCCCTACCCCTTTCCTACCCTACCCTACCCTACCCCAATTTTACCATTTAAGTTCACCAGGATCTCAGTGAATAGCTAACTGATACTCTTGCTACCTCTTTTGCTTCTACAATCATTTTCTTCCTGTTGCTACCTCTACATAGTGGGCTTTCCTAAGTGGTAAAAAAAAGCATCGAAGTAGAAAATCTTCATAGAGTCCCAAGCTCAAATACATGTCAGTTTCTGTAGCGCCCTACATTTCCCTCCTAAATGGTAGCCTCTGGGTACAGGCCTAATCTAGATACCATAGCACCAAAATATGATAATGAATATACATGTACACTAATTGAAGAGATGGAAGATCCAGCCCCAGCATGCTTCCTTCTATTCCTGGTAAAGTTTAGACAGGAAAGAAGCAATGAGAAATGACTTGAGAGCTCCTCTATGTTTTTTAAAGTGCAAAAATACAAGGAAGTAGAGTCAATAACAGCAGCAGGACACAAAATTTTTTTTTCACATGGAGTTCCTAACAGTACAGATGCCAGTTCTCCTCCAGAAGTGGATAACAGACAAGATAAAAAAAACATGAGACATATAGAAATCACAACAGCTCCACTCCATTCCAGTAAAAATAACAATAGAAATTATTTGCTTATTTCCTAACTTTCTTACCTAATAGATCCATCTTATTTTCCTCTATGAGGCGATTGATCAGACCATTGGCTCTCTCAATTGTGCAAACAGCAATATCCAAGGAAGAGAAATGCCCTGTTGGAGAGGTACTGCCCATATAACCGTCTACTTTTATTCCTATTTCCTGAAACAGACTCTAAATTGAGTAAAAATGAACAACATAGGTGAAAATATTTGAAATTCATAATTGTAGACTGGTTCTATCCCAGAACACAGACATAAGTAACCAAAGACATTTATCAGATTACTGTTAGTTGTTCCTGACAAGGACACACTGGTTCTTCTTAGAATCATATACTAAAAATATGAAGTTTAGAATTGACAAAACTCAGTACAGAGACTTTCTGCTTAGAGTCAAATAAAATTAAGTATGCCATTTTAATGATAGCATTTAACAATCAAAGAAGTTCTTTTTTTTTTTTTTTCCTACCATGAACATTTATTTTTGTTAAAGCAGATTATAAATTCTCATCAGTACAAATATATATAACTTACATTTGATTATAAGGCCAACGTTCAAAAGTAAAAATGAGATGGGATCTCACATTGTTACCAGAGGTCCAGTGACTGCAACTGGCAATGGGATGTTCTGTTCACCACGGGGAGGGGAAGGACACACAGACACACACACATAGCTAATAAAACCAGAATCTCCATCCCCACAAAACTCATGGGAACAAAACTTAAAGGACAAAACAAAACCCACCAAGACCCACATGACAAACCAACACAGTAACCTGCATTGCCGTCTATGGATATGATTATGTCATTGTCCCTTAGTGTTACAACAAACAAAGGATTAACATAAGGAAACAGCAATATATAAAAAAGTACATATTCTCTGTAGAGCATATTTAGATTGATTCCATTAAAATAATGACATTAGAATTTCATCATAGGTTTAAAACCAGGACAATACTGCTCTTTCATTTTCTTTATTTAAAACTACAACCTAGTGACTATATTGGTCATAAGCATGATTGTTGTTGCAATGTGCTACTTACAATGAATGATATCAAATAAGCTAGGGATCCTGTCTGCAACTTCCAACCTTTCCTCTTTTTTACTTCAATAGGCATCGATGATAAAGCAATCTTATGTACAATTTCTTACAGCTAACCCTTTTACCTTTGGCAAGATTACTTACAACTCATACAACTTTTTAATATTGAGAACTATTTAAAATATTCTAAATGCATAAAAATAAAGATTTTGGCTTTTTTGATATATATTTATAATATTCTTACTCAAAATGGAAGCTCAACTTTACCCCTAAAATATAGCTCTGCTGGGCAGCTGCCAATGTGTCCTCCTGGGAATTCTGGCAGCACAGCATGCTTCTTGTCCCCAGCCCAAGCATAGGCCACCCTGTTCTTGATCTTTAAGACAGGCCAGCACTAAGAGGAGGCAGGTGAATGGCCTGAAACACCAAGGGAGATCGTTTTGCTTCCCGTTGTTTTATATTCCAGGAAATGTGCTTTGAATACAGATTCTTGTTCAGATATGTCTGCCTCTCTGTTGCCAGAGATTTGTAAGGGCTGAGGAGGAGGAGGGGAACAGAGGGCAACATTTCCTTGACTTCTTTAGCCTAACCGCAAGACAGCTCTTCTCTAGGAATGGTTTTTTTCCACTTTTTTCAAAATCACCCCTCCCTGCACTCTGTGCCTGGACTTGCTTCTTGGGGACCTTTGGGCTTAGTGAAAAGTATACTGATGGGGAACACAAAGTCCCCTTTGCTCCTTTGACCTCCACCCCCACCCTTGCCTAAGTATGGACAAAATGCATAAGCCATAGGGACTGCTTAAAGTTCAATTTCAAACGTCTTCTGTAAGTCACTGGAGAAAGGGTTGGTGGGGGAGGGGTTAGTACGCTGCTTGGACTTGCTTTCTAATGCAGCCCACTGGGCTTCGAAAGGATCCACCAGGCAGGTGCCTGCAGGAACCTCTGTGTGCTTGTCTCCTGAAGCCAACCTGCCATCATCTACACCATTGAAAGCGGCAGAACCGTTGAGGTGCTGAGCAGGAGGCTTAAAGAAGGGACTGGCAGTAGCACTGCTTGTTTCATACTGAGGGAATGTCTGTTGCTTGACCAGGCTGGGAGACGGATGGGGGTTGGGCAGCCTGAGGGTGGCCTGCAGTGCCAAACACGTTGGCTACCATCTGGGAGGGAGTGACGCCCACCACAGGCACATTTGGGGCTGGATAGGGCATCCCATTGGCCACAGGATAGGACTGGGCAGGGACAAAGGCTGGCTGCAAGGGTGGGACCACACCCACTGGCACAGGCTGAGAGGTGAGGAATGCATTCCCTTGGAAAGGTGGCACTGGCTGGGAGATGGCTGTGGGTGGAGGCGGCTGGAGAACTGGCTGCAGAGGAGCAGCTGAGGCCTGGGGCTGCTGAGCTCGGACGCTCTTGGATACTTCCTCTAACCAGCGGTCGGCCTCAGAGGGAGTTCGTCTATGACCAGCCTGGAAGGGACCTGGAGAGGCAGCACCAGAAGATTGACCCCACTCAGTCCCCGAACGTGTGGCTGCAATTTCCTTGTTAGCAGCATCAGGGGCATGGGCCCAAGGGTTGGTTTCATGCACAGGCATTGCTACGGGTGCTAGAGCAGTATGGGCTGGCTTAGCAGCAAGCACATGGAAGGCTGAGTCAGTGCCATTAGCTTGAAAGGCAGGAGATTGTGGTGCCACAACTGTCACTGGTTTGATCATTGGAGCGGATGAGAAGGGATCCTCGGAGGGTGTGCTGAAGGCATTGGTGATCTGTGAGCACAGGGAGCTGATACTCTCTGCTTCCCCTTCTACCTCTGGCACTGCATTTTTTATGGGGAAATCAGTCTTCCCCTGCATAGTGGAAGGCAACTCGTTGATGCGCAGGGATAGTTGGCGTTTAAAGGGTGACATCTTCTGGCTAAGAGCAGGAAATCCTCGGAAAGAGCCTTGGCGAGCAAGTTGTTCAATCGGTGCGTGTCGACGTGGGATGGCATGAGGATTGTTCATCTCCAGAGAGGCAGTGGCATCCGAAGTGGGAGAGGTGGGAGACGACGGGGATGAGGCAGTGTTGCCAGGGGCCACTGATGAACCAACAACTGTCTTATCTTTCTTGGCATCTTGGATTTGTTTCATAATCTCCTCTCTTTCGGCTTGCTCGGTGGCTGTTGTGACACGCAATGATCCTTCTCTAGTAAAAGTGGTTCGACTGGCATCAAAAGTAGCAGTTACTCCACATTCCTTCTCCCGCTTCTGCTTACGTTCTAAACAGGCCGCAAAAGCACAGCCTACCGCATGGCTCAATCTTTCACCCGTGTCCTTGACAGCCATGAAGCAATGACAGATCCAGCGCCGAGTGGTGCCATCACGACATATGTAAGAGAAAGCTCTATCAAAGTTCCTATCTGGGGCACAGAAAGACACTTTTTCTATTGTCTGGTCAACTATGAGGTCCTTAGTTTTTTCATCCACCACTCTGAGTCCGTCTGCTGATACCCAGAGGACTGCCTTAACTGCTTTCTTTCCAGTTTTTCCAAAGAAGCCTTTGAAGAACTTCCTTTCAGCTTTCAATCTCTTTACAGCATCTTCACAAATGTGCATTCCTCTTGATTCATCAACTTCTACGTGGCCAAGATACTTAACTGGGAAGCTACATTTTCCAGTACGAACCCCTTCTTCATCTGTCTGCCACTGATGTGGACGACTGGCTTCTGGAACATAAACATCTTTCTTTCTCCTAAAACTTTGCCGTAGTTTGTTCATTTTAATTTTCACAACCTGGCTCTGAATCTTGGCTGTGCCCTTTACAAGCTGTGTGACTTTGGACAAGTTTCGTAACTTCAGCAAGCCTCAGTTTCCTCATCTGCCCTAAGTGAGGTGTCTGAGGATGGCTGCTCGCCCACCAATATTCCAATCTATGGAAGTGGATCAACACCTTGGGGTTGTAACAGCAGCTGCACTGGCTCTCCTTCCTGGAAGAAGTTGCTTAAGCCTCAAATCTGCCGCTGCCCGCCACTAACTCTAGCGCCACTGCCTCTCTCAAAGAAGTTCTAACAGCTATTTATAGAAAAGTGGAAAAAACTACCTTAAGCACTAACATTTTTAATCTAAAAAACAAGCAAAAAACTAGCTCTTTAACACTAATGTAATACTTTAAGAAACAAATTTATACTTCACAAGGAAAATATTTTCATTATCCCACTAATTTTTTATATAATGGAAGAAAAGTTTTCAAAAGTCAAATGCAGTGGGACTTTGATGTTAATTTTTTTTAGTTTAACTTTTAACTAACATACCTTCTCAATAAAAAGGATCCTTTCATCATTTTGTTACTTTGGTCTAAGTTGAGAGGATGTTACCATGTAGGACCAACTTTGTTGGCTATTTGGCCTCTGAAATAATTGTTAAAAAGATTTATAGAATTTTAGAGCTGTTCATTCTATAAAATGTTTCTGAGAGTTTATTGAGTTAACCCACTAGGGTTAACATCCTCATTTTATCAATGAAAAAACTGAGGCCCAGCAGATTATGTGCCTGGCCTGAAGACATAGCGGCAAAACTGGGACTAGAACCCACGTTTTTTGGACTACCAGTACTACTAGTAGCACATTTTTTCACTGCAGAAATCACAATAATAAATTTATTCTACTTAATGAAACATTGAAATTTGTAAAAATGCCTTAAAAGTGAATATCATACAAATGAAAAATGTTATCATTCATTTTTGCAGAACAGAGGAACAGACCACAGCCCTGGTGCTTTACCTAAGCATGAATGGATTTTGTTCTCCATCTCCTAAATGTTACCAAATAGCCCTCAATTAGGATGGGACATACTTCCCTAAACAGTCCTTCCTTTCCATGCTTCAGTCTAGTCCTACCATTCAGTTAAAATGCTGATTCTTAATTTGCATGCTTATATGCCGAATGAAGTATTCTGTTTGCCTCCTAAGGAAAAGTTTATAAATTTTAACACAATTTTCACCAATTATTCTTTTGATTTGATGGCTTTTTCTCCTTTATGCAATAATAAAGAAGTTTCCCTTCATAATGGTCAACTTTTAAAGCTACATTGGGATGCAATAAAAGAAACTTTATTTTCCACTTGCTTCTCTAATTCTATTTCAAATGAGTAAAGCCACAGCTGTCAATAAACAGCCTTATCACAATTTCAAAGTTAGTACAAGAACATTACCTGGAGATAGTATTTCTTCTCTTTAGCCACAGAGACAAATGGCAGAATAAACAAAGCTTTCTTCCGCATTTCCAAAACTCGCTTCAAAATAAGCAGTTCCGCAACAAGAGTCTTCCCGGCACTTGTAGGAGCTAAACACATGTTATTCCACAAGGTTATCACAAAAAGAAGTAATATTTGATATACTGCATTAATAAATGTTTTAAACTATATCCAGTAACTGCAGAGCCTAAGACTAACCTATCATTAAGGCCCCAACTAGCATTTGAAACCTTTATACCCTTAAATGTCTCTGACTTTAAACCAACACTCTATATAGGTCTTACATTGAAAATATAGAATTATTAAATAAATCTTATATCAGCAATAAACGATGAATATTTGAGTACCTAGCTTGTACCTAAAGATCCTTTCCTTTAAGTACTGAATGGTTAAAAGCTCTGCTTTGAGGAAGGAGATGAACAACTTTCATATATTGTGACGGGAGCTATAATAGAAGTTGAGGGAAAGGAGCTGTAAGAAAGTTTATGAAAAGGAAACAGAACTTATGAGAAGGAGGTGAGAAGGGAAGAGGAAAGGAATGCTAAGCAAAAGAAATAGCATGTACAAAGGCCTGGAGGAAAGCCTGGTATGTTCAGATGACAGTAAGTAACTTAGTAAGCCTGAAATATAAAACAAGCCGGGGAATGAAAGAAGAGATATAAATGTGCCACATGGCAGAGTTTTATAATCTCACCATGTAAGGAGTTTTAGAATTTATCCCGGAAGCAACACAGAATGACTAACGAGTTTTATGAAAAGGAATGACAAGATCATACTTGCACTTTATAAAGATCACTTTGGCTGCAGGAGCAGGTCAAGACCAGAGAGAAAAGATAAACTAGTTATAAGGCTACGGCATACACTAAAGATGATAGTGAGGATAACACAGAAGAAAGATGATAGTAACGTAGGTAATAGAGCTAAAAACAGGGAGAAGTAGTCAGAATTAAGATATTTGAGGCAGTAGACACTGGACATGGTGTTAATTGATGTGAGCTGCTGACCAGAGCTGTGAATGGCATTCAAGTTTTGGTTTAAGCGACTGAAATGGTCAGACCATTCTACCACTGCCACTAGTTAGCCTTTACTGTGTACTTTCTATATGTCAAAAACTGTTCTAAGCACTCTCTCTCTAGTAATTTGTAACATTACAGGCCAGTGGTAGAGACAGTTTTCAAACCCAACCAGTCCAATTCCCCAGCCTGAATTTATATCTACTGAAAAGTTAATTGTCTAATTACTTTTTCCAGCCATAATAGAGAATCTGGATGACTCACAGTTTCAGAGAAAACTGATACAAAGTGCATCTTGCCAAATGATTAGTTTCTAAAGTCAGTATAGTAAAAAGGTTAAAAAGTATATATGTCAGAGTTCCTCTTGAAAGCCCACTTAAATCTTCCATAAAGTATATTACACATGGTTTTGTGTATACAACCCTGTACAAGCACATCCATTTATAAACATGTATAATGTTCACACACCAAAAAGCAACTGAGATCAACAGAGAGAAGAGCAGATTTACACCTCCCATTGCACACTCACTCTGGGACATATGTTTGTTGAGAAGAATGGTTGGCAGAATAGCTCTCTTTAAGTTGTCATTTTCTTGCTTTTTCTGCCCAGCCATATAATGTAATTTGAATAATTAAAATATGCATATGACGAGAATCCACTTTTCATATATTATTTTAAGACTTTCTCTAGTTATAAAGCACTGTCTCATCCACCTTTTAAAAAAAATTGTAACTACCTCAATAGAGTACCCTTTACATTCAAAATGTCTTTAAAACAGTAGAAAAATTAATCTGCACAAATTTGAATACCTGAATAGACTAAATTCTTTCCTTCCAGGACTTGTCCAAGCAAAAGGCACTCTGCTTGCCATTCAAACATCTTTTTTACACCAAAACTGTGATATTTCTCCAGAACCGCTGTAGGAAGTCCCCAATGTGCCAATAGCAGCTTGTCTATCTGATCGTCAGGAACTGTCTGCTTGCATTCCCCTTTCGGGAAAAATGGAAAAAAATAATTAACAGTTGAATCCAGTTGTAACATTCGACTTCAGTAGTTACCCTCCACTCTGTTCGGAATTCCTATGTGATGGAATGAGGCTATTTAAAGCACATCCTGACACAACGCACATCCAACTTAAGGATCTGTGAGTACTGGGCACTACTAGAAGAGAGCCGCCTGCCGGTGACGAGGTTTGGCCAACTAAGAAATTGTTTCTGTAAAGGTCGAAAGACCCAGAAACCACTTGAATGTTACCGCCAGGCAGTCGCTGACTATGGGCTGAAAGCAATTCCATGTCTGAACAGAAAGTGACCTCCCCTTCCAGGCCCGAGTCACAAACTGAGAATGGGAGTAGAAGCCGAGAAGGACGCGCGAACAAGCCAGTCCGCGCGGTGAGGACCCCTCCCATGTGGCCCGGCTGAGCTGCCCACCTCGCCCGTTGCCCCCCGAGAGTGCCTGGGAGTACCTGCAGCTCCGGCCGGAGGGCAGCCGCGGTCTTTCAAGCTGCGTCCCAGGCCCGGAGGTGGGCTCAACACCGGCCCCGAGGGGAGCAGGGAGCTGTCACTGCTGTCACCGGCGCTTCCCGAGGAGTCTGAGCCTGATGCTGAACGCCGCCGTTTCCCACTCCAGCGCGGAAGATTCATCGCGAACTCTTCTTGACAGTTCAGGGAAAGCCGCCGTCCCGGCGTTCTCCCTCTCGGGAGAAACCCGGCCTGCTGACAGCTGTGGCCGCCATCTTCCCGCCACAGTTTTCAAGCTCAGGCCTCCTAGCTCGCCCCGGAACCATAGAGTTCTCAGTGGGGAGAGTAACCTGAGAACCATAGACGCCTGGGGAAGGAGCGGCTCTCGCTGGCGTCTTAGACTTCCGGCCTGTCGCGTCAGTCGTTGGTTAGTGTGAGAGAACCCGAGTTGGACTTAGATTAAAAGAGAGAAAAAAAGACTCTGCATGTATAATCTGCATTTATAATCAAACTGGCCTAAACATTTTGTCTTTGTCCATTTCTGGTTTGAATTAGCAAGGTTTGCTAATTTCATAAAATGAGCTGCCTATAATTAGGGAAGTAAATCTTAACGTATTGCTATTTTTTTAATTATTACGGATTATGTGTGCAAAACATTCAACAAGTAAAACCTAGGATTTCCAATGGAGCATAATCTGCCCCTCTCTCAGTGTATGATGGTAGGACAGAGGCTATTTCTGTACATAATTTCCACATTAGCCATAACACACCATGAGGAATATGTGATGGGAGTTGGGGACTGCTGGCCCCTGGACGACTCAGATAGCTGTATGAACGCTGCAAGGAAGGGGCCTGAGTGATCATTCTGAGCCAAGAACTTATTAATAGACCTGTGCTCTAGCTTTTGGCCGGCTTGAATCAAATGAATTCTGGACATAAACTGCTCCCCGTTGATTACCTAGTTGCACAGTTCATTTCACCAAGCAAATCTAGCAGGCAAAAGACCTTCCCTGAAGAGGCTGTGCTATTCTACAGCATTAAAAATCTCAAAAGGGCCAGTTCAATTAGAAAGATTCTAATACAAGTCTGGGAAATAGCCCCTGACAATCAATTCTCTTCTGAAAACCTACCTTATGAAAAAAAAATTTTTGAGCGACAATATTCTCAAATTCCACAAGATGGAGACATTACTCCATGAAGGAAATATCTTTCCTAGTTACCTTTTATGCATTCATTCACTCAGCTGTTTATTGAGCATCTACTGCGTGCTAGGTGCTGGGTATATGGCAGGGAAATGGCATGAAAATGGCTCCTGCTCTCAAAAA